CAATAAACAACTGAAAAGAGAAAGAAGTTTGGTTATTGGAGCGTCGTTGTCTGGCTGTCTAGCCGGCTGAAAAGTTGGGAAAACTCAGGGCGAGGACAGCACAGTGATGTCAGTAACTCTGTTTTCAAAATCTGACAGCTATGAGATTGTCCCAGGATGCAAGAGTACAGCGAAAGCTTGTCCACTGCTTATGGGACTGATTTATGCCCTGAACTGTGCATACCCTCCTATTTTGTGCTACACTTTTAAAGTCCTCTAAGAACTCTTGCTGGAGATGGATCAATTTAAACTCTACACAAAAGAAAACACCCTGAAGTGAAAGTTACTGTCATGATTCTGTCTTCCTAGAGGAGGAAAATATTTCTGTAATGAATGTTTTAACTCTGACAGTGTTGTAAACTTTTCACTACATATTTCAAAAACACTGTTCCAGTTTGAATGTAAAATTTATCACTGCCCCATAAAGAAATTTAGAAATTGAATTCACACTACTATTGGAGTTACTTATTTGTGAAGCCGTTTCTTTAATGCATAGAGTATTGCTTCATTTTATTTGTAAACATTTATCCAGAGACAACTGGCATCAAATATATTGTTTTAGTGCGTAGTTTAACATAATGCAAAAAGTCAAAAATGTTTACTTTAATTTCATGTCATAATTACATGAATTGCCTTTAAACCTTAATGGCACATTACTTAATTATGTACAAAAACTGGAAATATGTTATATTCTATTGTAAACTTTAAGCTATTGCCTTATGTACTGGTAACTAGTTTTTACATTTCATTCCACTTTAATAAAACTTTGTCTTAAATAATGCTGTGAAGTTATTGAAATGTCAGCCTATGGTTCAGCTTGAATAAGTTTGAGATATTTAAAAAACATTTTTGCCTTTCTAAATAACTTTAACCTGGGCATTTTTTTTACCTGTATGGGAGGTCTTTGAACTCCAGAAATAATATGACTTCTCTGCAACTGTCAGGAGAGAGAACTATACTGTCATTTAGTAAAATAATAAATTTTGTTTTGCCATTAAATTTGGTAATTGTTAGTGCACCATCTCAACGACTGTTTGATCATGAGCTATTCTAATGTTACAACACACTGGTGGTGAACACTTAATTGTCTCTTCAGTGGTGTAGAGAGGGTGTGAATAGTTCTTCACTTACAGCAGCTTGTGCAACATCCTATCTAGACTCGGCTCTAACATCCAGAGCTATTCACAGCACAGAGCCAGTTTCTTCAAGTCTATTATTATTTATGTTTTTGGAGGTTTGTTGTTTTGGTCTTGTTTTGCCTTGTTGTACAACTTGTGACAGCTTTGCAGTGTTAAAGGTAGTTGTTTGTCACCAGGTTCTGTTCTTATTTTACCTTTATGTCTAGCCTCTTCAAGACCATGCTAAATTTCAAATATGTGGCAACACAATTTTAATTTAAAATATGACATTCTACAGCTTGAGTATTTGTTGTGCACAGGAATGTAATTACTGTGCACAACTAGTGTGCACAAGAAAGTATATTTTTTTGCTCTCCAATGTTCTTTTAGGGGCTCAAAATCGCATTGTAATTTTTTTAAATAAAAATGAGGAAAGAAAAGCAGTGGCCTTGTTATAACACACCAAACCTCCTTGAGTTGTATATATACAGTATATATATATATATATATATATATATATATATATATATATATATATATATATATATATATATGTGTGTGTAATCAGTACAGACCACAAGTTTGAACACAACTGCTCATTTAAAGAGTTTTCTTTATTTTCATGATTATGAGGATTGTAGATTCACACTGGAGGCATCACAACTATGAATTAACACATTTGGAATTATATACTTAAGAATAAAGAAAAAACATCTGCATATATGTGTTATACTCTAGGTTCTTCAAAGTAGCCACATTTTGCTCTGATTACTGCTTTGAACACACTCTGCATTCTCTTGATGAGCTTCAAGATGTAGTCACCTGAAATGGTTTTCATTTCACAGGTGTCCACTGTCAGGTTTAATAAGTGGATTTCTTGCCTTATAAATGGGTTGGGACCCTCAGTTGTGTTGTGCAGAAGTCAGGTGGATACACAGCTGATAGTTCTACTGAATAGACTGTTAGCTGCTTTTTTATTGCCATAATACAAATTCTAAGTAAAGAAAAATTCATTACTTTAAGAAATTAATCATTACTTTAAGAAATTAAGGCCAGTCAGTCTGAAAAATTGGGAAAACTTTGAAAGTGTCCACAAGTACAGTGGCAAAAACCATGAAGCACTACAAAGAAACTGGCTGACATGAGGACCGCCCCAGGAAAGGAAGACCTAGAGTCACCTCTGCTGCGGAGGATAAGTTCATCAGAGTCACCAGCTTCAGAAATCACAGGTTAACAGCAGCTCAGATTAGAGAGCAGGTCAACGCCACACAGTTCTAGCAGCAGACACATCTCTAGAATAACTGTTAAGAGGAGACTGTGTGAATCAGGCCTTCATGGTAAAATAGCTGCTAGGAAACCACTGGTAAGGACAGCCAACAAGCAGAAGAGACTTGATTAGGCTAAAGAACACATTGAATGGACATTAAACCAGAGGAAATCTGTGCTTTGGTCCGATGAGTCCAAATTTGAAATCTTTGGTTCCAACCATCGTGTCTTTTTATGACGGAGAAAAGGTGAACGGATGGAATCTACATGCCTGGTTCCCACCGTGAAGTAAGGAGGAGAAGGTGTGATGGTGTGGGGGTGCTTTGCTGGGTTAGGGGATTTATTCAAACTTAAAGGCATACTGAACCAGCATGGCTACCACAGCATCTTGCAGCTACATGCTATTCAATCCGATTTGGTTTAGTTGGACCATCATTTATTTTTCAACAGGACAATGACCCCAAACACACCTCCAGGCTGTGTAAGGGCTATTTGACCAAGAAGGAGAGTGATAGGGGGCTGCACCAGATGATCTGGCCTCCACAATCACCGGAACTGAACCCAATCAGGATGGTTTGGGGTGAGCTGGACCGCAGAGGGAAAGCAAAAGGGCAAACTAGTACCTCTTGAAGCTCATCAAGAGAATGCAGAGTGTGTGCAAAGCAGTAATCAGAGCAAAAGGTGGCTACTTTGAAGAACCTAGAATATAAGATATATTTGCAGTTTCACACTTTTTTGATAATTATATAATTCCACATGTGTTAAAGCACAGTGAATTCAACATTCAAAGTGCATATATATATATATATATATATATATATATATATATATATATATATATATATATATATATATATATATTTATAGAGAGAGAGAGAGAGATCTTTAATTTTTTCTACCTCACTCCTGTTTGTATTGGCTGTTTTCCCAGATATATCTCAAAAAAAATTCCAGATTTTTTACCGCCACAAAAATGAAGTTACTCACACAGCACTCCGTTTCATAAATGTTCCATTTATTGACTATAAGGTGGTAAAATACGCTTGACATTGCGATTAATTGTCCCATAGATGCACAGCGACATCTGCTGGTCATTTAAAATACCTGTCGTGAGTGTCAAATTTACCATGTCTGTTCTGTCGCAGTTAAATCTCTCTGATGACTTTATTCCGAGTAAACCCTGTAGCTATAAAAAATATAAATATATATTACATCTAAATATATGTATATATTTATATATGTATAAGACCTGCTTTAATTTCGAACACAAGCAAAAGCTACGATGAGGGCAGGAAATACAGCGAAAGTTTCTCCATGCCATGCCTTTATTTTGAAGGGCACTGGACCGGCGGGCTTGAAAGCCACGCCCACTTCTAAAACCGAAAATTGACTGGTTTTTCCGTTTAGGGGGCGAAAACAAAAAAACAAAAATCAAGCCGTTTATTGGATTTTGGTTTTATGTGCAGAAACCACAAAACGGGAAAACGAATCGTTTTCTGAGGAGAAGAATCCGTGTATCATTCGTTCTTTCTATTTTCAATTGTCAATCAAAAAACAAAAAATAAAAAATTGACTGGTTATTTTGTTTTTTGTTTTTTATGGTTAAACCAAAAACGAAAAAAGGATTTGTTTTTCATATATCAATTCTAAGCTCAGATCAAGAATACGAAATGGAAAAACGGACAGCAACGCAGAATTTGATTTTAATATTTAATCGGTACAGTTTACGTGACCCGGAAATAGCTCTTTGCGCGGCAGTGGGGTGATGAAGTGGCTACCATGGCGACGCTAGAACGCTGTTTGTTGTTGCTAGTTAAAAGTACAGTGCACAGAAAAGTTTCAAGAAAAAAGTTATACCTGGAAAATCCTGCTGATTTTCTCCATTGTCATGTCCTCCTCCTTAAGAGTCACACGCTTGGATCCTCGAGCGTAACTGTCCATGGCTGATAGGTCCGACTGCCTTATCTGGTGCAGCTTGATCGAACGTGGTGGGGGTAAGCCAATTGTTTTTTTTAGCTAAAGCTCCACCAAACTTCCGGGTCACGTAAACTGTACCGATTAAATATTAAAATCAAATTCTGCGTTGCTGTCCGTTTTTCCATTTCGTATTCTTGATCTGAGCTTAAAATTGATATATGAAAAACAAATCCTTTTTTCGTTTTTGGTTTAACCATAAAGAACAAAAAACAAAATAACCAGTCAATTTTTTATTTTTTGTTTTTTGATTGACAATTGAAAATAGAAAGAACGAATGATACACGGATTGAGAAGAAGGAGAAAACGGGCGTTTTTCTGTTTTTTCCATGTTGAATTATACCGTTTAATCAAACTGATAAAAAGTACCTTCGTCTTGCTGCTCAGTAACAGTAACAGTACAGTCATTAAAGCCGATTTAAGGAGTGAAGTCTTATTAATCTGCAGGAGAGAAATCTGTGGAGAAGTAACAGAACAACCATTAACATGCTCTATCTCTTTTTTGATTCAAACAGGAGAGACAGAATTAAAATCTCAGGCTTTTTTTCTTCAGAGAGGAACACTATGTGGGAGGCGGTGCTCAGCATGTCTCCTCCTACGTCCGCAGCTTACACGTAAGAGCTTATACTCAGCAGCTGCTGAGCATTTCTGACTTTGTGATCCAGAGGAAGACACAATGAGCGGCAGAGGAAAGGGAGGTAAAGGACTCGGCAAAGGAGGCGCTAAGCGTCACCGTAAAGTCCTCCGTGATAACATCCAGGGAATCACCAAGCCCGCTATCCGCCGCCTGGCTCGCCGTGGAGGAGTCAAGCGCATCTCCGGTCTGATCTACGAGGAGACCCGCGGTGTGTTGAAGGTCTTCTTGGAGAACGTTATCCGCGATGCCGTCACCTACACCGAGCACGCCAAGAGGAAGACCGTCACCGCCATGGATGTGGTGTACGCTCTGAAGAGGCAGGGCCGCACCCTGTACGGCTTCGGAGGTTAAACTGCTCCGCTTCCAGCCACCAACCAAAGGCCCTTTTCAGGGCCACCCACCCACTCATTAAGAAGCAACTTCTACCGTTAAACAGGCATTCAATCATTCTGATTATGTCTTATCAACAGCTTTATTGCTTTATTTAATATACAGTCTTTGAGCAGAGAAAACTTCTGGTCAACAAATAATCGCAGACACAAATTCTCGTTTACTGTTTTTAGAGAGCGACTAAACGGCTTCAACCCTTTGTTATACGTGCGGTCTTTAAATAAAGAAGTTTGTGAAAGTATATATTACATATAATCAGTCTCTATAATGAAACTTATTTCTAAACTGAACCCGTGTGTTGCTGTCGCGACACTAACCATTTTATTTGTCATGGCCTCTAAAAGTAATGCAAAATCCATTTATGTAATTAATTTCTTGCAAGTTTCCTAGAAAAGTGTCTATAAACAATATTTAGTAATTTTATCCCATATTTCTTTCATTTTATTAAATCGGGATTTTCAGGTAGATGTTTTAAAAGCCTGTTTATGCTCTTAAACAACTCTGCAGATTCATCATTCTACAAAGAATTATTTTTTTATGTTCTATTGTTTCTGATACATTCCTGCTCACATTCTGTTACCTGATTGGTTCACTTTTATGTTTTCTACTACCAAGAAAACTATTTATTGGACATTTTCTCCCAGTTCTCTTTTTTTAAAGCTCCATCTTTATGAAATATTTTCATCTGAACAGATCATTTATTGATGTCCTCACTTGAAAATGATTCCTCTCTAATGTAGATTCCTGTCTAACATCCCATGCACACTGATGTAATGTCGTCACATGAAACTACATTTATAATAACTCTTGTACACAAGAGCTCAAAGTAATCATGATTGTAGTTTTTATTCTTCCTTTCTTTGGCTTTTCCCGCCTTTCTTTTCCCTCCTTTTTTCAGTCTGAGCGCAACATTTGAAAAAGCACGTGATTGAAATTCAAACTCCTTCCAGACTGAGCGGCTCATCCAATCACAGCCGAGGGACGCAGCAGCTCAATCTGAGTGCCTGCTGGATTAGTACAGCTTCTCCTCCTCGGCAGCTCATTCGTTGTGTCAAACACCGAAGATCAACATGCCTGAACCCGCCAAGTCTGCCCCTAAGAAGGGCTCCAAGAAAGCCGTGACCAAGAGCGCCGCTAAAGGAGGCAAGAAGAGGAAGAGGAGCAGGAAGGAGAGCTACGCCATCTACATCTACAAGGTGCTCAAGCAGGTCCATCCTGACACCGGCATCTCCTCCAAGGCCATGAGCATCATGAACTCCTTCGTCAACGACATCTTTGAGCGCATCGCCTCCGAGGCTTCCCGTCTGGCTCACTACAACAAGCGCTCCACCATCTCCTCCAGGGAGATCCAGACCGCTGTGCGCCTCCTGCTGCCCGGGGAGCTGGCCAAGCATGCCGTGTCTGAGGGCACCAAGGCTGTCACCAAGTACACCAGCTCCAAGTAAACGGCTCTGCTCTCAAACCCAAAGGCTCTTTTAAGAGCCACCCACTCCATCTAAAGGGCTCTGATTTTCCTACTTGATGTAAATGTACTGTCTATGATGATCTAATGTGGAGTTGGTTATAAAAATATCTATAAAATCTAATTTGAATTAATTCATACTGCTTTAGTGGTCATGCTGTACTCTATTCCTCAATCAGTGGGATTAAGGTTTATGGCATGAAATCCCTGAAGCCTGATTGGCTGCTTCATACTAAGCAAGACTGGTGTTGTAGGGCAGCAATTTATCTGAAATGTTTATCGCAAAGACAGCAGCTGTCATGTAATTATCTGCTCATTAAAGTCTAAAAACTGAGATATCTGCCAAATACGCTGTTTTTTTGTCACCTTATTTTATTGTTGGGTGATAGTTTGTTGAAATTTGTCTCTTATTGGGCCCAGTAATATTTTGCAAGTTTTTATTTGTATCAAAATTAATCTGGATAATTTAACAGAATGATTAGTGATGGCAATTTTGAAGCATTTGGACATTTTATACTGTTTAGAATGGCAGAATCTGCTGGAAAACTATCAGAACTTAGTCCTGTAACTATGGCACCGAATTCTAATCCATCCTGATTTGAGTATATATATATATATATTAGCGTTGGGCATAGATTACTTTTTAAAATCTAGATTACTCTCACTATAATCTCGGAATTATTCAAGATTAATGTAGATTAAAATGGCTCATTTTAATTCTGCCAAAGGCATTCATCATGTGTCTGCTACCTAAATAATAACTAACAGTCTGTGAACAGGTTTTTTTAAGCCAGGTGGCGTGTTACACCAGGTGCTTATCTCCCGTTTCTAAAATTCATCACAAACTGCTTGAGAAAGCTTTTATACTATGCAAATTGATGAAAATAAATAATATTGGATAAGGTGTATTTGTGTCTTATAACTTTTTATTCAGATAAACATTAATTCTGAACTGAGCCTACATAATAGGTAATTTTTCTTTGTCAGTCAGTAAAGACAACATGGATGCCTCCAGTAAAGCAAATTCAAATGAAATCACTCTTAAATAAAAACACTGACTTATTGAACAGTTTGTAATAATTTCATATTGAAAGTATTTTCAGAAGTTTGAATTCTAAATATGACTGGACTTTTCCTTTAATTTGGACCTGGAGTCAAGCTTAATTAAGCCAAGCACTGAGTTTATTGACCGTTTGTATGTTGGCTCTCCTACAGCTGATCTTTTTTAGAGAAAGAAGAAGAAAAAGGGGACCCAGATAATAATGATAATAAATCAGAATGAAAGAAAACATTTTGTACACATTCCTGCACTCATGTTAATTTATCTGAGAAATATAATTTTTCTTCTGTGGAAAAAGGCTTTTACCTAAAAACTAAATAGTTTTTCATCCTCAGTTTTCTAGGAAACATTTAAAGGTTTTGGGATTGAACTGATTACTGTTTAAAGCTTTTTAGCAATTATTTTACATCATTCCATCCGCATTGGCAAACTCCCAGTTCCATTGAAAGAAATGTGATCCCAGATCATTATCCTTCCACCACCATGTTTTACTGCTGGCATGTTGTTTTTGTAATGTGTAGTGTTGCTTCTCTGCAACCCTTTGTTCAGCAAATGAGGAATATGGCAGAATGTTGATAGATGTAGAAAACGAGCAGTGATACAGAAAATACTGCAACTTCTTCAGTGCTACTATCAAAGGATGCAGATGTCGGTAAAATCCTTCAAAAGTTTATTAGAGAACATCATAAAACGGTGTCAGGAGTTAAGTCAGGAAAACTGGAAAGTATAATAAAGGGACATTTCAAAAATATCTTTAGAGTATTTAAACAAAGACATTATTATACCTTTTAATTTTTTTTATGTTACAGAATATATTAAACCTTTTCAAGCTAAAACATATATTTTTTCATTTTTTATTTTTTTTTTTAGGTTAGCCAACGTTTTTTCTACATCTCAAAAGATGATATTTTCTATCTTTATATGTACAACTTTCAACTAGGAACCACTAGAGGGAGCTGTAACACCCCCTGTGAAACCACAAACCTGTGTGATATTTCCACATTGTACTTATGTGTCGTCTATGTATGTTCTGGTACCTTATTAGTTTAAATCAGATGAGCAATGATGATTGAGTACTTATTTATTCTTTTTATTGATATCTGAGGGCAGAGGAGGACAAATTAAGCATCCTAAAAAAGACTTTTTATGGAGATTTTCTACAAAAAAAACAACACTTGTAGAAATTGTTATTAAAATGTTATTATCCTTGTCCAACCAACACTATATCTTACGTCATCATGGCAATGTTCATCCAAGCATATAGTGTAATGTCATTGGCATGTGCAGGTCCCAGGTAGATCTGGTGCCTACACTGGTAAAGGGCCCAATGACTTTAAAGGCCAAAGCTCTCCCTCAGCTGCTAACAAGCTTTGTGCAATCTTAAAGTTCACAGTTCTACTAACAATGGTTCATTTAAAAGTCTTATATAATGCTTTGCAACACACAGTCTTAATTACATACATATGAATCATCCTCATTAGCTGATACATTTTCAGCACACTGAAAGTGTTTTCTAAAGTAAAATTGAGCTAATGGATGATAAAGTAAAGAAAAAACAAAGATAATCTTTAGTGTTTTATTTATTAGGACTGCAGTGCTCCCATTTCAACATGTGACCCTTATTACCTTCGACAAGAAGGTTATGTTTTTAGTAGAGTTTGTCTGTCTGTGTACAGGATAACTTGAAAAGATATAATTGGATTTTAATATCATTTTCACCAGAGGTGCGCCTCATGCCCAGGAACAATCCATTAAATCTTGGTGATGATTCAGATCATAATCAGAATTTGTTTTATGGATTCTTTAACATCAAGAGAAAAAAAGCAGTTCTCCTTTAAACCAGAGGGTGGAAGCAATGATATACAGCTTCAGCATTCTTCTCTGTTGTGATAATTAATAGCTATTAAATAGATAATTCAATATTGAGGGTAAAACTAATTAGATGTTATTAGTTTAATCATTGTAACTGTAATCTGACCAGACATTTTGGCCTCTACCTCACAGGTGGGCTTCTGGATCACCTCTTCAAAATCCATTTATCTCCCTCAATTTAGTGAATTAGGCTATGGCTATCAGCAGACTTATTAATAACCAACCGAGAAAAATGTAGCTGTCTATTCAAATTCAATTCAGTTTATTTCTATAGCACCAATTCACATTATGTCATCTTAAGGCACATTACAGTTTACCAGATCATCCAGTTAAATTAATTCAAAGTTTTCTATCTAAGGAAAACCAGTTGATTGCATCGACTCATTGACTCTTCAGCAATCCCTCACACAAAGCATGCTTGTAGCGACAGTCGAGAGGAAAAACTCCCTTTTAACAGCAGAACCAGGCCCAGCGTAAGCGTCCGTCTGCTGAGGCCAACAAGAGGACAAATGGTACCAAGTGGAGGGTGAGTCTGACCTGAGTGATAAATTGTTTGCTGCACAATAAACACAAACTACTACAGGTTAAAACATTGATGTCTTTTTGGCTAAAAATCAAGCATTATAGAAAATCTAACATCAATGCAAACACTAAAAACACTACTATAAAATAAACATGAGGTAGATCAAACTAATAATTTGGAAAAAGGGGTCTAAGAGTCCATTCAAATGATTTCTTAGGGAGTGTCCAAGTCAGGTCAGATGCATCAATGCTTTCAATTCAGTTTATTAATTCATCAATCTCTGCCACTTCACAACACAAGTCATCTCAGGGTACTTTACAGTTCAACCAGATCTTACAGTCAAATTGATTCAGTTTTCTATCCAAGGAAAACCAGTTGATTGCATTGACTCATTGACTCAAATACAATCCATCACACTAAGCATGCTTGTAGCGACAGTGGAGAGGAAAAACTCCCTTTTAACAAGAAGAAACCTTCAGCAGAACCAGGCTCAGTTTGAGCGGCCATCTGCTGAGGCCCACTGGGGTTCAAGGAGACAGAAGCAAGTAGTGTCCGTTCAAAATAGCAACAGGTATATGTGAAATGCATTAAATAATACAGTACTGCAACACATTGGTTAGCCTAGATACACTTAAGACCTAGCTAGAGGGTGGAACTTTGCAGGTTCCACCCTCCACAAACCACAAAATGGCTGCCTCTACCATATGGTAAAAGGAGGTGGAGTCAACTGCTAGAAAGCACAATGGATCTGGGTTGTCCAATTAGATAGATACCACTAGAGGACCTTGTAGTAGCAGTTGCCACCTTTCTTCTCTTTTCAGCTGGTTAATTCTGTTCACTTGTAACGCTGACCGCTTTCCTTCTGCATAGTTGTCTTCTAGATGCCGTTATGTCCGCAGTTCACAAACAATCTGAAATATAGAGATAAAACATAATAGGTTTAACCCTATTCCTATTGACCAAAGTATGTTCCGGAAGTCCTCAGCTACACTTCGTCTGATAGTCTCATGTGTTGACAGAGCTTTCATGTGCATCGAAACAAGACTATGGAGTTTATTCATAGACTCTAAATAAAAGCTCCATATTTTAAACCATACAGTGACTCTAATTTCAAAACATCTGTAAATTGTATTATATATATATTTTTTTATTATTGTTGCTGTTATTGTTATTAAACCTATTCCTCAAAGTAAAATTTGATATCTGTGCATTAATTTTACAATTTATGAGATAAAATTATATATCTTATGATCTAATTTTTTTCGGAGCATCAAAAATATGTATGTTGGAAACATACATACCATAACTGCCTCAGTTGCCTGGTAGTCACTGCAGTCATATTCAAAACGTTGCAACCTCTTAACAATATTTTTTGGTCTGGTCTAAATAATAACTTAATTTAACAAAGATAGACAACAAATCCTTGACAGAAACTGCTACGTTTTTTCAGCCATCAGAGTGCTTATATGCTATGATCGCATGCTCAAATAGTCCAGACTTTCTGCAGGTGAGACCTATCCAAAGCTGTTTCTGTGCATTTCTCATGTGAGAGTCACAATACTGTTTGTGTATTAGAGCATTGTGCTGCTGTCTGACCCAGAACA